CTACCCTCGGGACTCCAGGGGACCGCAATGGCTAAACCAGCAAAACTCCGATAAATGGAAATTATACTGGAGCCCACACAATCAGTGAAGACGAGGCATCCAACTATCCAAGTATTAAAAAATGAAATCAATCAAAATCCTTCCTTATAAAATTGATGAGAGGTTCAAAAAAAAGAAAGTCCGCAGAAGGAAAAGAAATTAGAAACCTGGTATCGCTGTGCCAGTATAGCAGTTTGAAATCTCATCTGGTGAATAGGTTACGGTCGTCGAAACCATAGAAACCGTAGCAAGAGGCACTTGTGACAGAGCTTCAAGATACTAAACAACGAATAGAAAGCAGTCAACTAGACGTGACCAGTATGTAAAATGTAAATTCGATATTCTGTTTAGGTACCTTTAATTCATTAATGTGGCACAGTAGTTAGAAGTACCCAACAATATACACAGGCAAACTTTTGTTCGATCCCGCGCTTTGGACAAGGAAAGCTCCAACCGCACTGGAGTTCGCAAATTGGAACCTAACTTGTCTGAGAAGGCAAAAAAGAAACACCGACTTAATATATTAGTAAGTCGCCCCTCTACAGGACAAATATCCATTCAATCACTCTACGATGCTACTAATGGAGTCAAATCCATGGTGAAGGTCTCAGAGGTCAGATCAACGCTAGACGCGAGTTTTAAATTCTTTGTTTCTGAACTCATTACTAAATAGAGAAAAAGAACTTACATAACAACTTCGTGTACGCTTAACAATCTTAGAAGGTAGAGGAAAAGAACTGGTAGCGAATCAGCAATCAAGAAAACGCCACCCACCGCAGCCATTACTTCGTTCTGTGCCGCTTGCAATGCTTCGGCCGATGTCATCGATTGTCCAGGAAAGAAATTCGCCACAGCCGCTGTGCCTATTAACAGTTGAAATCTGGATTAAGCCGAAAAATTCCGTGTAAAATGGCATGTATTTAATGCGTAATAGATTTTTTCAACCTTCTCTACATAAAAAAATGAAGAATAAGAGTGCTGGTCAAGGGTAAAAATCTAGAAGCTCTGATGAAGAAATACTGCTTCCTTAGAGGATTTCTGCAAAGGGGAAAGGAAATTATAACACGTAGAAGTTCGAGAAGATATGTCAATTTAATCACTGTATGAAAGAACTACAGTGTCGGAAGAAATCGCAGACTCCGACCGCACTCCACCTCCCTCATGAGAAAACTTTTTTAAAATGACTAGAACTCCAATATGAAACATTCAACAAGAAAGCATTTGAAGTAATGAGAGCGTAAAGGACAATTTCTCTCCAGTGAATCACTTCGGTAAGCCTCTTAGGCTAAATTTCTTATTTCTTTCAATCATTGCAGACATACTTGACCGTTGTTGAATTGTAGATTTGTTGCTAAACAAAAATCTCAACTATGTTAGAGACCTGTGGATGCGAGCCGAGGGTAGTACGTCCATCTAACCGGTGGACTGATACTGAACATGAAGGTCGGATTGGTAATAATTTCCGAATCACGAGCGATATTCGCTGAAATGAACACAGAAAGAAACCGATTCACATGTTAGTTACAAAACAAAGAGAAAAACGCCGCAAAGAGAAAAGGAACTAACCGTTCGTCTGACACCACTGGCTAAAATTTCGATCTTACCACACATTTGCTACCAGTCTTATCATAAATTCTTTCTTTCATAACTTACAAATCACATTAGCAAACTTTACATCGTCTTCATAGAACATAGGTTTGCACTTTCGATATTGAATGAGAGATCCAAGTATAACGGTTTGCCATCTCATCGACTTCGGTAGCGGTACCTAGTTGCTCCGCTACTTCCAGAAACCCAAACACCACAGCGGAGACTAGCGAGGTACCTCTGTGATAATTTCTCGCTAGCAACAGTTTAAAATTGCCATCGTATCGTTAAATGTGCCGTGATGTTCCAACAAACTGCACCCGACTGACAACGGGATGGAATTGAGATTACCAGTGCTCGTACCAAGTACTCTACCATTAAGGAGGAGGAAGGAGCTCTCGAACGTGAACTTAATGGTCAAATTCAGAATCCGGTTGATAACCGATTATTGACACAGCTACTGGATTCGATTGTTTCTACGTCACGTAACCAAACAACTTGAGGCTGATTCCATAAAAAGAATTAGTGAATAAAATACCTACAACCTTGTACCTATCAGCTAAAAAGTCACTTACAAGAAAGCTAAAATTAGGAATATTCGGATTGAGTGAAGGAAAGAGAAAAATTTCCACTTACAAACAGGAATAGGTTCTATCGGTTAGGATAAGGACAGGAATAAGGCTCTAGGCATTGATCTATCGCTGAGGGCTGCGCCATGCGTTTGACTTCATTAAGCACCGTTGGAGGTTATTGAATGCATATCTGGTCATTTACAATGACTCGCGGTGGGCCTACCAATGTATCGAGCTAGTGCTGCAATCTTCCCAAAAACTGGGATCGATCCTATGTGTATTGCAGGGCGCCTCCGACCACTGTGCTACACGCTTCCCTAGAAACCGGTAAACCACTTTTATCTTAGAATAATTCAGGATTTCTGAGATTTAAGAAACTATTATAAACTTACTACTGGCGCACGCGTGAACCGTTATAGTCAGACAAGAATGAAGAACAGCAAACGGAATTCGCATGGTGTTGTTAGTATCTGGACCATAACAATCCACTTATAAATGGACCACACGGAATTTTACTACTATTGACAAGTTACCGCCTTTGTAAAGAAGTTTGTTATTGTTGATCTTCGCCTTTAGAAACGACCCATTTCAAATCGCCTATACAATCGAGTCGATCATTTTCGGCAAAGAATACTTATTGACTTAAACCGAATTTCACATTCACATGAACTATTAATAGAATAGTACTAACTATTAATGGAAATGTAGTAATGGAACTAGTAACCGGAAAATGAGAATAGCGTTAGCTTAGGGTAATGTCCCAAAACACTATGATGCCAGTATCCAACTCTTAGGGCTACCAATCATTTTTTTGTTCGATGCATCTAAATAAAGTCCCTTCGGAACTTCAATGAGTACTTAGCATCATTTCAAATCAGTGGCCACATCACTGAAGAATGTGCAGGCTATTCATGATAGATCCATTGAGGCACTTAAAAGGGACATAGGATTTGGCATCCTCGCAGATGCTTAGAATAAGTCACTCATAAATTATTCTTTTAAAGGATCGCGGCATCTTCATAAAGTATTGACAAAAAAATTCTTAACTTTGCCAACATTTTGCCGATTCCCGAAAGACAATGCCTCCTTCAAATCGGAATTAGTGATCACTTTTGAAGGAAAAGTAACGTGTAGTGCACTAATACCCCGCAGTAGGCTTATAGTTGTTAGTTCGACAAACTGCCAAGGTAAATTGGCAAGCGCCTGGTCTGAGAGGATAAAAACAGTGACTTGTTTCATTTGCATGCCACAGAAGTCATAGTATAGACCAGATATGCATGTTAGACCTCTGCGATGCTACAAATGGAATCGGAAACAGGGCGCATTCCTCAAGTGACTGATGAAAGCCGAGCGCTTTATCCATCATGTTTTTAATCGAGAACATGCAGTCTCATGCTCTATAATTAGCTAGGAGGTGAACTTAGCAATGGATAGGGAACGCCTTAATAAGAAACCGGATTGTGGCAGTTCCCTCATCAACGAAAACAGAGGTCAACTTCGACGACCAAATTAAATGCCATTGGATTTTCTTCGTATTTTTGTTGAGCAAACGCGAGGTGTTACTATTCTTTGTTCACGATTAAGCTGACGTTAATACGCTTTTACGCTGGCACACATTATACTTCTACGTGATTTCTGTGCGGTTGGTCTCTACGTGGCATACTTAGTGGAAACCTCATAGAAAGCGGCTCTGAAGAAGGCGAAATTCGCCGAAACGTCAGCTTAATCGTGAACAAGGAACAGTAACACCTCGCGTTTGCTCAACAAAAATACGAAGAAAATCACTTGAACAATGCCGAGGTTAATAGAAAGTCGGTCGTGGCAGTTAAATGCCATTGGACTTTTCAACAGACCTAATCACAAATCAGTTTCAATTCGTATTAATCTCATCAATTCAAACCTTTTACGGATGGAAAACCCTCTTTCCCACCATAAACGTCAGCTAACAGATACAATGGCTTCGTTCATGTCAATCTGGTTCACTGCAATTTTAGAACGATCGTTCACAAGGGATGACATAAACCTTAAGAAAAGGGAACAAGTGTCACTCAAAAGAGTGGTGAGATAAAACTTGTCAAAAAAAAGTGTGAACATATCAATGTTAGCTGATTAGAACCACATTGTAAAACAGTGACAGGCTAAGCGAAAGCTGTTCAACAATTTGACTAAAGAGAACCAAAAAAAGAGGGATAAAATCGAACATCTTCTAAAATGTTGAAAATTAATCGAACTATAAACAAGAAAAACAAGGATCACCGTTTTGGATTGGGCAATATGAGAAGAGAGCAGTGAATTTATTGGAAATAAGGAAACACCTGAGTTTACGTAACAGAAAATGTTGATGTAGGATATCAACCGTACCATTCAATCGATGTGGTATCAGCATCATTGGCATCATCAATTTCACAATACAATAAGGTTATGACATTACAAGGCCTAACACTCTCTAACTAGGTGGCTCTCATGCTTCGAGTATGAGGTTCAAAACTGATCGGTAAAAGCAGCCGGAATCAGTAACGCCATGTTTGTACAGAAGTTACAACAGTTGAATGATGCTCCTGATACGTTCTTATCACAATGAAAGCAAAATATGGTGAGAAAATAATGCCATAATAGCATACAAGTAAAATGAAGTAATTGGAATGAAAGGATTAACTGAATAAAAAGCTAACAAACATTGAGGTTTATCACAACGTGACTACAACTGGCTGGCTCATATAAGGCACAAAAACTCGACGTTTCGTAAGAGATTGTTAAGATACCTAAGTGAACCGGCTTCGATGACCTCTGAAGAAAGTATCTTCAACTCTCATCACCTTTGCTGCGATTTCTCGCCAATCGCAAACGACATAGTGACTCTATCCGCTCTATTCCGTTCTCGCGGCCATTTTGCTCCTGTTCGATTTGCCATTGTTGAAGCATCAGATTCGCATAGACCGGTTGTACAAAATAACTGAAGAGCATAACAGCAGATGGAGTAGCATAATTTCACTCTATTACAACGGCAACGGACGGCAATAGTGCGACACATGCATATCGACTAGAGATACCCATCATATCCACAAGCCAATGAATAAGCAGTAAAAAGTTTGAAGGCGAAGAAAAGTTGTAGAAGTGAGGATAAATTAACCACAATGATGCTGTGATATTTGCAAACCTCGGACGGCAGGTGTCTGCGTTGGGAACGAACGCGCTATTACCCTTTTCGGGTGCTCGCGTGTTCACCACCACATCATGCGGGTTCTCCGTTTCGCGTTTCTGCCAACTAGTTTTCTATTTACCTCTATTCTATCAAAACTAGGTGAGAGACAGGCGAAACGAAGGATCAACATGGCGTGGTGATGAACGCGTTAACCCTCCGAAAGAGTTATAACGTATTAGATCCCCACTGCAGACACGTGTCGTCGAGAGTTTTTAAAATATCTCAGCATCATTGTGGTTGATTTCACATAAATCCTTGCCTCTGAAATTGTAGTAGGCAGTAAATAAAAAAGTTAACATTGTGAGGGAAACTTTTAAGTGGACGTGAGTGCACTCGGAAAAACCTTACAGTTCATTACGAAAAAAAGTTACGTCTGACTAAAAGCATGCTATTTTCCCAATATCGATTAGAAAACGTTGAACAATAATTATCTTCAACCAACTTTTGCATGTAGGCAGTTGTAGCAGTGGGGAAGATCAGACGGAAATTTCCACGCCTCACATATTCGTCTACAACAGAATTCATTTACTATAGATTTACTAAGGAGAGGTTAAATAGAAGAGAACCGAATATTAAACTGGTTAATTAAAAGGACCTTCAAATTCGACGAGAGTCCGTATATCCTCTTGGGTAAGCCGTTTTAGTATTCTTGAATTCAAATCGCCTTCTCTACGATAAGCCGCAGTCCATACAGTTTCTTTCTTAAATTAAACAGTAATTAGTAGTCATAACCCAAAAACATACTTGTTTAAGCAAATATTGAGCAAAACACTCAGCTACCTTTTCGCTGAATCCGAGAGAAAACGTAAAAATACAACAAAAATGTACACCTCAATGTGATCGTCCTCTTTTGGCCAATTACGCGGCTTCATACTATAATCGGCTGTGGCCATCTCCTCAGGACTAAAACTCTAGCGATAACTTTAATGAATTTTTGTAGGAGATAGTCGCCTATTACGTCAGTTTCGATTACGATGTGCATCTTTCGGAAGTTTTAAAATGTAGCAACTATTTCAGCAGCGTATTGAGTGTCTAACTAAGAAAATTAGATTACTAGTAGAGTACGATACGTTTCAATTAATAGGTACTTACCTAGGTGGAACATTGATTCCGGCCATGTTGAGCACATCTCTCGCTAATGGCGCTTTCACAGAAATATCCAAAGCTGTGCCCGAATGAAGAGATGGCGAGATATTGACCTAGACATGTAAATAACCTCATTGACGACTCTTATACATGCTAAACAGATGGATACTCCAATGCCCGTCGGTGCTGGGACTGACCCGGAGCGAGGGAGCGTCTTCCGTCGGTGGGTGCTTACGCGGCTTAAAAACACTATGTACTAGAAAACAACTGCTAAAGCGAAAATGATAAAGGATAAAGGATTTAGCGTTGGTATGTAGATCTACATATCAGTTTTTTTCTTCTTTCAGACAAATTTGATAACAAACGGAGCCGACCCCAATGGAATGGAGGTTGGATAGTTTGCCATGGGCGTTGGATCAAACCAACCACTACGTGTGTATTGCAGGCTAACTCTAACCATTGTGTAACGTGTCCTCACAAATATGACATTATATGATGTACCACTGCGCACAGAAAGGTATAAACGAAAAGCAGAAAAATGTGTGCAGCATTCAACCTCGTATAATAAAAAAAACAATTGGCTTCAACTTCTCACCTCTAGTAGCCATGGTTTGAGGTCTTCGTCGAGTAAAATATCCACTCCAAATAACTCGTGACATATGAACCTGGAAATAAGAACAAAGATTACATGGTCTTCTCGAAAACGTGTATAAAGCAATAACCCATCATGATCTCTACCACTTAAAATTAACATTATGAACTAATTCTTAACGTACTCATAAGAAATCTAGTAAAAGTCACTCTATAGACAACGAACCCGTGCTGAACATAGCGTGTCATGTGGTCACGAATTGACTTTTCACATGCTATGAACGCCTTCACAACAACATCTTCGATACGTTCGCGAATTTTATCCGGGCTTATACCCTTAAAAATATTTCCTTACCAAACCACAGACTAGTTACTGAATGTAAAGGATAAAAAGGTAAAAACATTCGGTGATTATGTATATGTCGCAAGGATGCGTCAATCATTCGACTTCACTAACCCATTCCAGATCACACTATAGTGTTCACAACGATCTGAACCAAACGACCGTATGGACACTACAGTATTCATATTGAGCTTAATAGGTTCCAGAGTTCTTTTTACCGAGCTATACATACTCATTCGATAGCTAGCCTAAAGTAGATCAAAACAGCGCGGATGAGACCAGAAAATCCATTCTCTACGTTTAAGGATTTACGGAAGACCTTTTCAAAAAGAGTTTGTTGATCGATAATTTGACTAACAATTAAGTGTCATTTAATCTTAGTCTCAATGATGAACGATGGTTAGTTATATGGAAAGTGTAGGTATAAGAAATACCGAACTAGACTTCAGATAAGCTGGAAAATACTTCCAAACGCTGACAACAATATATCTCCATCATGGACCATAATGACACATAGTAAATAGTGGCATACATATAATTCATACCCACAGAACGACACAATGAAGTCTTATACAATCCTGTTACGTTTAAAACCCATCAACTCCTTTATTTACTAAGGGAAGATTTTTTTGTTGTCAAAAAACAAGAAAGTCCGCAGCCGATAAAAAATGCGCGTAGTCCGTTGGACCAGTCAGATGAAATACGGTAGCCGGGGCCGAATAGGGTATCGACAGAAGATAGCATAATGCTAAAAGAATACAGCTCTCAGCGTTGATCATTCTCAGAGGAATGGGCCATTGATTTCATAAAGGTGGTTCATTTCATGAGCATGGTTAAAAGTGACTCAATAGATGTCTCGACTACACAATGACTCGCAGTGGCCTACCGATGTTTCGAGTCAGTGATGCTATCCTCCCAGACAAAACTAGTATCAATTCGCCGACTCCGGAGGGATCGAAGGGCTAAGCGCTGGGTCCGAGATCGAACCAACGACCACGTTTGTAAAATAGGGCACCTTTAACTACTGCGCTAAACCTGTTCTAAAAGACATGATAGGTGGCTGGAAGCACATTCCTTGTCGATGTGTGCCGTTGTGCCAATTCAGTGTTTTATATCTCCAAGACAGCCTGGTACGACGCGGTGCTAATAGCAGAGTAATGAGAGGGGCTTGGTTAATCCTCGTCACGAAGTCAACCCCAGGAATTGTGTTAATTCAGAATATTTCTAAGCTGCATTGCATTCATTCTACTTTTAAATGAAATGGCACACAATAGAAGATGCTAACCTCATTCTCAAAAAATTGCCATAGTTCGCTCAAGCGCCATTTGGCCACCGGTGAATCGGACACTCCATCTTGTTCAGCAAGTTTATTGATACTGTAGTTGGTTAGGTGCATGTATTTATTTGAGACGGTCGATAGGCATCGCGAATATCTCAAACATTCTTAGTATAAGTGGAAGACGTTCAAAACTTACTACTAAAAGCATGAAACCGTAGTAAAAAATGCTGTAAAGAAAATGTTAAATTAAGTGTACTTCTCGCAAGTGGGTACATAGTACTCAATGAAAGGCAGAATAAATGCTTTAACCACTTTTATTTCATTTTTCTAACCCTATTTAGAAGTATACACTATTAAAGCGCAAAATATAACCCGTAAAAATGTTTAAACATCAATAACGACTATCAGATTACCAATGAAGTGGTATAGCCCCAATTCTACGAAGCACTAAACAATGTAGAAAGAAATACCTTAAACATACAGTTCCAGAACTAAAAACAGTCGGAAAAACATAAAACATATAGGAATCAAAGAAGAAACGACTATGTAAATAAGAAAACTTGTAAAATTTCATGAAAAAAAGAAGAAAAAGGAAAGACAAAAAAACTGATGCTCACGGTACGCTAGCGAATCGAACGAGGCCTTCATTGTAAATGTATATTCGCAATGGTTCTAACGATGGAACATAAACATAAAGACGAAGATCGAATTTGGCGCCGTTGATTGTCAAAGGACGATCAGCATAGCTGAAGAACAAAACCAGTAAATGGTAAATGAGATTACTTCTCTCATCTCCCGAACATTTTCTAGCCGCTAGTACTACTACGGTGGAAAGCAACGAAACACTTAATGAACAATTTGAGACAAATTTTAGGGAAAAGAACATGCAGAAAAAAGCCTCTACAGCGAATTAAGTGTATTAAACCACAATGATTCCGCGATCTTTGCAAAACTCCGGACCGCAGGTGTCTGAGGTGGGGATCGAACACGCTATTATCCTTCATGGACCTAGCGCGTTCACCAACACACCATGCGGGTCCTTCGTTTCGACTTTCTCTCGGCTAGTTTCCTATCTAACTCTATTAAGACATGAAAGTGGATGTGAGTGTGATGAATAAGAAAACCTTGAAAGACCATCCTAAATTTAATTCATAGCAGCAAAAACATCTATGCAAATCACAACACGCCTTTCTGTTCATGAATTCTCTATTCTTTTCACCAGAATTCGTTCATTCCTCTTTTTTTTCTTTCGTTCAATTTTTCACCACTATACTAGACATTCACTGAAGTATTTGTAGTGCTATATAATCGCAAACAATAGGATGTATTGAGTCTCAAAAAATCCAATGATATATAAATGGAAACTCACTGCTGAGCTACTAACTGCGTTTTTTCTGGAATCTCTTTGATCTTTCGCGTAACACTAATGCCTGTCCCACGAGCACTAGCCGGCTAAAATAGTGTGCTATTATTTTCTAATAACAAAAACATAAAAAAGAACGCAAAATAATCCTACAGGAATCCCCAAGACAAACTTTTCATTGATCTCAACATTGATTTATGATTCGTTGTCTTCACCATAAACATATAAGAGGCTGTTCTTATGCGATTTATTACCAGTAGAAGGTATTTTTATTAATAAACAGTATAATAACAACAGCGGTCATCAAGAAACAGCGGCTTTAAAGAAATTCTGCTTGTAAAAGGACAAGGGCTAAAGCCTTTAGCGATGATGAACCCCTTACAGATACATTATGCATTCGATTTCATTCTCAGCACCGTTATAGATATTGACTGCGTATTTACCCACACAATATGGAAGCTCGTAATGGCCTGCCGATGTGTTCAGTCGGTGTTTTTTGCTGCCAAATAAGTGTGGTACCAATTTCCTGACCTCAAAGGGAATGGGGATTTGGCTTGCACAGCGCGAGAAGTAGAACCAACGACAGCCTGCCATAGGTTCCCAAGGAGATTTAACTTGCAGCGACCATACTAAAAACTTATGACATATTCATCAGAGCTGTCTACTTACAACAATAACGCGGCTATTATTTGCAGTAAAATGCCATGATGAAGCATTTGGATGTAAATTATTAGTGCACGTTCGGTTTAAAAATAACCTTGCATTGTATCTTATTTTACAACTCTCATAATTTATAGGAAAGGTTGGAAATACGAAAACATTTAAAACTCACCGGTTTCACAATAACATGATGTGTGGGTGAAGCTGCCAGATAGTTTCGCATTCGCTCGTAATCCTTAGGCAGAAGATACGTTTTCGGCATGATGCCGTAGACGTCCTCGCCGAACCGACGTTGTTGCTTCTCGATGTGCATCCAAAGACGATCCTTACGTCCAATATGGAACGCACCTGGGTAGTGATTTACCTAAATTAGTATATAGAAATTGAAAATAGAACACTGTTAGGTAAACAGTTACTAAATACCTTTTGGTGTGGTTTGAATGCCTGATACTGACTACTCTTTAGATGTCGACCCCAGTATCCAATGAAGAACGATGACTCATCGACTACCTGAAGAGATAAAATATTACGAATAAAAACATAAGAAAGACCAATAAAGGATAAAGCTATCAGCGTTGATGAATCCCTGAGGGATGCGCCATACATCAGAATTCATTAAGTATCGTTAGAGGTAACTGAATGCACATCCGGCCTTTACAATGACTCGCGGTAGCCTACCGATGTATCGCACCAGTGCTGCTATCCTCCCAGACAAGTCTGGTACCAATTTGCAGATCCCGGATGGAAGAAAGGGCTTGGTGGGCCTTTGGCCTGGGGTTCGATCTCATGTAGTGGAACTTAGCGAGATCAGTAGAGACTATAAAAACAGTTCTAGGATATAGTTAAGGTATCTAATTTATGCAAAAAGCAATATATCTGATCTCTATGTATCGGAATCCGTGGCAATTAGACCTTAACAGATCGAAACACACTAGCGTTGCCTCGACAGACACAGAATATCGTAGTATTACAGAGGAACCTAGCGAGATTATTAGAGACTATAAAAACAGTTCTAGGATCCATTAAGGTCTAATTTGTGCAAAAAGCAATATACCCCGGAGAGACGGAAGACTTGTTGGGCCATGGGCGCGGAAGTCGATTCCTTGTGTGTCGCAGTGGCGCCTCCAGCCACTGCGCCACACGCGCCCTGAGAAACATCAGTAACCAACCAATAATATATTGTTCTATTCATGAGCTTGAAAAAAGATCATTTAGTTAAAAATAAAGATTAACAAACCGTAAAGTGACTGGCACTGAGGCTCTGTCGCATTACTATTGGAAGAAGGCTGTTGTGACACCATGTTAATCGACATGTAATCTTCTTACTTGGTTTTGAAACTGAAAAATGAATAAAGTTGGATTAAAATGCAGTCCGTGGTTGAAATTCATAAGAATTCGTTCCCTGAGCATGTGAAAGCCTAGAGGGAAAAAAGAGGAACAGAAACGACTTTGAATTCCAAAAACAATAATTTCATTACGGAACAATAACATGTGCCTCGTTGGTAAAAATATGGACATTCTAAGGTGCCTATTTCAATAATAAAATCCATTATAAAAGGATAGGATAACGCTGTCAGCGTTGATCAATCTCTAAGGGATGCGCTATGCGTTCGACATCGCTAAGGATCGTTTGGAGGTGACTGAATGCATATCTGGCCTTTACAATGACTCGCGGTGGCCTACCAATGTATCGAGCCAGTACTGCTACCATTTCAGACAAATCCTGTGCCGATTTGCCGATCTCGGAGGGATGGAAGATTTGGTGAGCCACGGGTGCTGGGATCGATCCCATATGCGTGTCGCAGGGCGCCTCCAACCGCTGCGCCACACGGGCCCTTAAAGTCCACTATACGCACACTTATTTTTACCTTTCCAAATAATTTAAACACCAAAATCTACACCATGAAGAATACGTGAAAACCTTCGAAACATATGGAGAAACTCTGGGTTAACCGATTTTCTATTTCTTCCTCTCAAAGCACTAAAGCGGAACTCTCTTCTTCAGATAGAGTATTTCTACAAAATTAAACCTTCTGAAACACAAATACGAATAGAATCTACGGCCAGTTTTGGCGGAGTTCTTCAGCGTCTCTTCATGACTCTAGCGATAGCCGAGGAACAGTCCTGCAAATGCTAGAAGATGGGCAGAATCAGCTTTCATCCGAATAGATGGGCTTTTGGTTGAAGATCCATTCTACTGAAAAGCCGGAACTCGTCGGGCAGGTCGCTTTCGATTAAAAAAAACGTAGCTATCATCTCCAGTTATTATTGGCCTCAGATCATCTTCTAGATATGCAAGAGCAATTCAGATGAAGTGTCGTGGTTGAATGATGATATGGACGTCGAATGAAAGCTCAGCATATAGAAGCCAATTTGGTTTAGGTGCCGTTGGACGGTGATATATGAGTTCCAGCGCAGCTTGCGTGTTCTTGTCAAAAATGTCGGAGCGACCAAATCAGAACAAATTTTCGCCTTTAGCTAATTGTTGTTTCAACAAGGACTGCTCCACTTGCAAGTGTCATCGAGTCCGAATGTAGCTTTGGCACTCTTCGTGGTCGTCCGCGTACTGGTGCGGAGAAGATGCAGAAACAGATTGCTAGCAAGAACTTGTTAGCCATCTATTTCAACTCGATATCACTTCTCTTATCACACTTGCTTTATTTGTTGCGTTGTATTCTTGCTGCAGTGTTCCGGAGCATCGAATACTAATCGGATTGAACGTTGAAAAAATTCTGAACAAAATTCAGAACAGCTTATATTCCAACCAAATAAAAAACGAAAAAGAAAACAAAAAAAGGCAGTGCATACATAGCACAATAACAAATAACAGCAAAAATAAGAGTGATAAAATACAAAATAAGAATAGAAATAAACCTGAACAGAGCCACTTTTATTCACCAGCAAACTTCCCTACGTCAACTATGAAGAGTGCGTGTGGCGCAGTGGTTGAAGGCGCCCAGTAACACACACATGGAATCGATCCCCGCCCCCGCCCATGGCCCAACAAGCCTTTCATCCCTCCGAGGTCGGCAAATTGGTACCAGACTTGTCTGGGAGGATAGCAGCATTGGTTCGATACATTGGTAGGCCACCGCGAGTCATTTTAAAGGCCAGATATGCATTCAATCTCCTCCAAACGATGCATAATGAAAACCTTAACACTCAAGGGATTGATCAACACCGAGAGATTTATCTCATCAATGCCGAGAACTTTATTTTTTTCTAGCTTTATATCAACTATGTCTTACACAATCTATGAGGCTAGTATGTTAACATAAAGTCTCTTCTTCCTTTAGTCGGTATGCAGTTCACTTCTAAATAATTGCTAGGACTGATAATAACACATTAGAAAATGAGTAGCCTAGTGATTTTGTTCGTATCTTTTGAGCAAACGCGAGGTGTTATTGTTCTTTGTTCACGATTAAGCTGACGTTTCGGCGAATTTCGCCTTCTTCAGAGCCTGGAAAGGTCAAGTTGATAGCAACTCACTCGGCCAGACGCCTCCATAACCAAACAAAGAAACCCCAAACCAAGATTTCAATCACTTTGAACACAGCTTTGCACACTCACCGCTTTCTATGAGGTCTCCACTAAGTATGTCACGTAGAGACCAACCGCACAGAAATCACGTGGAAGTATAATGTGCCCCTCACATCAGAAAAGCAGTTTTATATACTGCCCTATATCACGCGTGATAATGAGGCATTCTTCCCTGCGGTTCATCTTCGGATTTCTGGAATTAATCCAGAGTGCCTCGAGAGTTTTTCGCGCCTGTGTTCCTGATTCGCGTGCGAGGATCGTGACACATACTTCGAAGTCGTCCCCGTTATGTCTCTGGGTCGTATGCGTGCCTAGCGGGGTATTTGGTCTATTTTTGCCGGCTAGGTGTTCTTTCATGCGGACACAGAGGGGTCTACCCGTTTCGCCAATGTATTCGTCACCACACGTCTTACAGGAGATCAGATAAACTATACCCGAGCTCATGCAATCACCGTCCCTACCACTGGGGCAAATTATGCAGTTTTGAGTTGCACATAGACGGTCATATAGGCGGTTACGAACTAGCTGGCGCTTAAGATTACTCGGTGGTATTTCAACTACGCTCACCGAATTCTCTAAGCCCGCCCTTCTTAAGCAGCGTTTTATAGCTGTACTTATATCATTTGAGATGAAGGGTAGGATAGACGGGACCCTTCTATCGCTAGAGTTGTCGTTTGGAGGCCTACGATTTCCTCTACACCTATCCTGAGCTACAGTTTCGTAGCCATTAGAAATGGCTATTTGCAGTGCCATGTTCCGGGACTCCTTTCTCTGCTCCCTTCCCGTGCACACGTTGGTTGCTGTTCGAAACATGTTTCTTATAAGCGCCCTTTTCGTGTGAGAGGGGTGAGAGGAGAGGTAATGAACCAAGATATTTTTACTACTTGGCTTTCGGTACCACTTTGTAATGTAGCCATTTTCTGACAGGTGAATTTGTACGTTCAAAAATGGAAGCCATTTTTCTTTCGGCTTTTCTCGGGTGAACTTGATATACTCTGACTGTGCGTTTAACAATTCGAAGCATTTGTCCATTTCCTCTTGTGTTGAGCAAAGGACAAAGCAGTAGCCAATGACAATGAGTAGCCTAGTTTCTTTGATTATGGCGCCTCAGACAAACTTAATCTACGGTTCAAACACTCTAAACAAAAAGAGTTATAAGGAGCTTTCCTCTCAGAACTTCTCTTGGGAGAATGTTCAAAAGACAAAAGAAACGTCATTTCCAAGTCGAAGCGATACTTTTCTAACTCACATCGCAGGTATTATTGCCCTTTATGCGGAATACTCCACTATCAAAACAAGAAATTTTTAACGAAAGTTTCTCCTTATATCTTTCAAATTCTTACATATTGTCTTCTTATACAACTCATAAGGTTTTCCGCTGCACGCATGAATTCTTCAGATGTGTAATCTCGATGTAAGGGAGCAATACAGGTAACGATAATTAAATATACAACAAAGAACTTTTGTTATACGAAAAGAACAACATTCACAAAAACCAGGATGGAAATTAAAAGTGAATGAACGCGAAGTGATAGTACTCATGGTCTACTCCACCAATGCGTGAAAGTATTTATAAAACCCAAGAAAATCTGCCGGCATCAACACTTAGAATATGCATTGAAATCAATTCATGCCGGTCAATCTGCCCAACCTCTTTCTCTCTCCCTCCAAATCGTCACCCACACCACACACGCTTGCTGTCTCTGCATTCTGCTCATCATCAAGTGTCGCTATTACTTCAGGAAACAATTTGCCCGAAAGACAGTTGTTGTGTAGTATTTATTATTAGGTGAAGAGAGGAGCTTCTCTGGGCCAGAAACTTAGTACAGCATGTGTGATAGATATACAATCAACTGAGCACGAAAAATTTAACGGAAATTTCTATGTGGCACTGAAAGAAAATGGGTTGGTACTAACTTGCGACGGCTTCAGTATTTTTATTTCATCGAATTAGAACAGAAATTTACCTTTGATTCCTTTTGTATAGAATCGAATAGTTGGTGGTACTCCTGTGAAAAGACTTGTCCTAAGGAATGGTTGAGGTTGTTGAGTACTGTTCGAACGGCTACGACCATTTCCCGTTTTTGATAGACAACTTGATACCAAATCTGTCAACCCGCACATAGCACGCTCATCTGAAGAAGTGAATGTGTTATAGATTGAAAGGAAGCGGAATGTCTAGCCATCAAAGTAGCAATGAACCTTGCAAAAAGAGATTACAAGGTTCCAGGAAACTAATAGTATAAACAAGCCAAACAGAGAAAATTGCAGTAACATTAAGAAAAAAGAACTACCAGTTTCTCACTTGACACAATTGTCATGATTTTACAGCTAAGGAAGGTTAGTCGACCTCTCCAATCATCGTGGAAAAGACAAAAGAAACAAACTTCCACTACCGTGAGCCCTCTCGATGTTTACAATGAACAAAGGGTTGTTTATCATAACATAGTGGATCCGCATTTCATTGTTCAGATATGAAAATCTAACAAAAAAAAATAGTAGTCATGTAAAAAAATTATAAAGCGTGGTGAGAAACTGTAGGCAATGAAAGAAAAAACAAAGACGAGAAAAACCCAAAAAATATAACTATTAAGGAAAATCACTGACAGTTCAAGAAAGTCTGACCTCCGACTTCCACAAAAAAATCTAGCTCACCACCTCTCTTCTCTTTCTATGCGATTACAACTAGTAAATACAATAGTAAAAAACAGTTCATCGTTACCAGCTGGTAGAGGAATTAGTGTTCTATTCACCATGATCTTGTTAAATCCGTGAGTGTAGCGAAATGATTGAAAGCTTTCCGCGGCACGCATGTGGTTTTTGGTTCGATTCCGCGCTTCTGATTAATCAAATCCTCCATTGATTTAGGTCCGAAAACTGGTGTCAAAATTATTTGGAGGGACAGAAAAGAAAATAGATTAGAAACATCGGTAGTTAATGTTTAGGCTAGATATGCATTCAATCCTCAACGTTTGTTCCTGTCATGCTTTAGGAGACACCTATTGAGTTTCACTCAATCAAAGGACATAAAAAGCGTCATGCCATTGTTATTCTATTCTTCATCGTTCTTAGAAATATGACAACCACAGCTAACTTGGGTACCTCTGTCGTCGCAAAGGTCTATTTGCTAGCTGGATTCCGCATGAACACGTCGAAATGTGGTTGACCCAGTAGTGGAATGAATGGAAAGTTCGTCATCATAACAAAGAATGTTCATTTCTTCCCAAGATATGCAAAATAACGTCACTTTCTATCATGCACCATTTCATAGCCTTAATAGTAATTTCTCCACAGTATGTGTACAACATAAGAAGAATTGGTCTAATACTCCCGGTAATCCCATAGGTCAACGAGCAGTCAAACGAAAATAATATCTTAAAAACCGACTTTCACTAAACTTCGACAAGAATAACTAACATGCTTTTAGAGTTCTGAGCTAAGATGAAGTTGTTATAAAACCATGTATTCGGCTAACTTTTCAGCGTCTTCGTGTTCCCCAAAGCCGCGATGATCCGACTCGAGCCGAGTTGATTGCTCACAGCGAATGGAGAAGACGAACGCGACGAAACGTTAGCCGAATAAACGTTTTTTTAGTTAGAAACCTCGTGTTAGCTCAATAGTCTAAGGGAACAAGAATGACGTCTTTAAGTGCAGCTCCATCTGATAACATATGCAGTTCATCTGAATGAAATTAATTAGAAGAACGGAAACCGAGGAAGACACGAAAGAAATGCTCGGTTCCATGATTGGTGGAGTGAGCGGTTAGCTACTCCAAAGCATCAATAGGCCATGAATTGACTCCTCCAAAAAAAAATGATGTGAATACGAAGAATCGTCGAAAATGAAGAATGGAAACCGGTTTGGAAAAAGGGAAAAAAAAGGTTTCTATGAGGAACTGAACAATGGCAGTAGCTGACTGTCAATAGAATGTACTACGACTAATAGTTGTTAAGCGCAGAATTCGGTTAAAAGGAGAGGTTATACTCTAACATATAGCCGCAGTGAGCTATAACTGCACTTTGTTAAACAAACGAAAACATGAACTTTCCGCTTAACAGTTCCAAAAAAGAAAAAAAACCAGAAGGTAAAATGGTGTTTCATGTTTCGCACAAGGAATACTGTACTACAATCATACCTATGACTGGTATGATTGTACGATTTCAATGGAATGAACTCGCTTTCCAAGAAAACCTTCACATTCGCTCTTTCTTCTCAGATTTCTTCTACAATTACATCGTAGGGAAGATGTGAAAACAAAACGACAAGATTAATAATCTGAAGAATAGGAACTTGTGGAAAGAAATTCATTGTCTCATCAACTTCAATTCACAAGCATGTGGAAATATTACTTGCTACAAAATCCGTTCGTCTGAAGAGCGAGGAATACAGAAGGCAGGAAAAATGACTTCAAATAAAAGAGACACTGTATGAGCCGTAAACCTTATGCAACAAAGTGTATCTTAGAATCGAACTTGGACATAAAATCACAAGTACTTTAGGCAATTAAGAAAGTTCCTATAGGTTGCCACAGAAAAAAAAATACTGTAACCTCAACATCAAATCTAGTGGCTTCAATGAAGAAGTCTTAAAGCTAAGAAAATCCTTTAAAAACAAAATCCATTTCTATGACAACGAGTGTCACTGAATCTAAATAACGTGTAGTAACAACCTTTATATCTTTATAATTCATAATAAAGAGGACCAGATAAGCATTAAACGGACGAAATGATTCGTTGTGAAACTGTTCACGTCACTACATGAAAGGTGAGTGCAAGGAAAAAAAACGAGAAAAAAATGAAAAGGAAAAAGAAAGACGAAAAGAGAAAGTAAACTATATGATGAAAATGTCAAATACACTGGATAAGTGAACATTTGAGTCCAAACTACACTAAGATACTTAAGTCGTTAAGAGTTTTAGAGATAAGGGAAATAATGAACAGCAAAGCAAAGCGACTACTGCTCATTCAGAATTGCCAGCTCCTCTCGTTATCCCTGAAAACAGCGGCTGTTAGCAACGACCGAGTGAATCGGCCGACACACACGCATCATTGCCAAGCATTACGCACAAACGTAATGTAATATTAGTCCAGCAATTGTTCTAAATAGAAATACTAGTCACTCCAATAAGTGAAAAAACAAATCATCAGAACACTAAAGGATAAACTATTCTATCAACAGAACGTAACCGAATGTAGCCTAGGAAGTAGAGGCAGAAAAAAAAAATATCCAGATAGAACAGACGAAGAAACATCTGACACACAGCTGACAGTAAGCATTGATTTGAATGCGTAGGATGCGAAAGTAATTGCTGCTTCTAACTCTAACCAAGAGCATCTAAGCTCGCCGTGAATTGTGCTAGATGAAATGGATATCATTGGAATTTACAGGTCTTTGCCAATAAGACACATATCTCTTTGTCTTGCAACGACAGGCACTTGCTTTTCTTGAGCCAATGAAAGTCATTTTCCCGATCTTCTTTTTGGAGGCTCGTTTTTCGAAAACCGAAAAGACTGGACAGCCCGGCCCGGATTTCGTAGAACAGGAACCAACTTAAGTACACTTCCGATGTTTGTGCTTAGCGAGCATTTGCAGGAAATTTCAAATGTTTGGATATTGCCTTCATTTAGTGCAAATTTTCATATAAAACACTCTCGAAAATAAAAAGGTAGCCTATAAAAACTACACATACATTTACGACGATGCAGCAAGGATTATCCTGCATAGTCTTCACAGGTTATTAACCCCTCAACTACTCTACTCAACAAAAAATTGCCAGTAGTTATCAAAACACAAGATTGATCCTTTAAATGTTAACAAAGGCCTAAAACAGCAAGACTCATACAGCCAGAAGGTGACAGATTACTAAATTTCAGCTCATGCGTATCGCCGACATTATCTATAATCCGGCTAATCAACCAATAACTTCAGTCGATTCTACTACGTCTTCATCGTGCGCCAACGCTGCAATATCAAGCCATTTTTAGGTTTTGTTTTTGAAGAAAACACTGTCATGGCTATCTGGCTAGGCTCTGCTCAATCATAGTTCTACAGTCAATTACTTGGGCGATCCTGATGAAAATGTTGAACTTCTAAATCCCTTCAGAACATGACGAATCACTCCATTTACCTCGTAGTTCGAAATCCAAGAATATTATCGACAACGATTTGAGGTACCAAAACGTTGCGAAGGAATGAATGCATTATTGAGAAGACGAATACTTTCAAGCAGAACAATTAAACCGAATAGTTCAGAAGTTGCAATAATGACAAAATGAAGTGGAAAGAAAGAATAGATACAAATTACAAGGAGGAAAAGTTATGGAGTATAAGAATAAGAAAACAAGGCAGGAGCAAAGTCTTGACGCTCTTAGTGATCGTACTGAAATGGTTTAAAAACTTGAAAGCATCAAGAGGGACACAGTGATCCAATGATGTTTCAGATCAGACTAAACCTTTCATTCTTTAATACATTCCCTCTTAGTACACGTTAATACATCTCTTTTTACTCATGCTATTATAATATTACATCTCCATATTAGTTTACAAGAAAAATGAAAAGAGTAAATAGTAAACGAAAAAAAATGGACGTCTTCATTACTGGACGCTCAAGAGTACTCAAAACAGAAGAGAATAGAGTTTCCGAGCGCAAACACTTCAAGCGGTATAATGTCTAATGAATGGATCCATCACCCAGGATCTCCAATTAATCCCAGCCACTCCCATCCTCCTCCTTCGACTTCAGCAAAGATGAAGCTACCAACCCACGCTCGCTATTAGCAACCGCTCACGTCCCAGAATACTCTTGCGGATCGTTTACTACCACTACTACTATATATTACTACAGACAAATATTAATTATACTACAATTACAACACATTAAACCGCAAGATAACTAGGTTAATATTAATGTGTCGTTTTCTTGTTCAGCAATCGTGAGGTTTTTAAACAGCATACATTTACTTCCATAAAAACACAATACAATACAACGCTAGCTGACGTTTCGGCAGTATCGCCTTCTTCAGAGCCTGGAAGGGTATACTGATAGGTTAATATTTCTCAAGAATTTGCCGAAGACTTTAAATTTGTCGACGATTAACCAGAGTTGAATTGTTATTGTAAAAAAT